GTTTCTGTTCAACTCTTAGGCAGCAGCTTTAACATATGTCATTGCATTTCAAGCTCTTCTCTTATTGGGAGGATTGATTTGCCTTGGTTAGAAATAAGCCAATTGTTACTTGATAGGATTTAATAATTACAATAAATTGTAGCTTTACCTAGAAATGGGTCTCTTTATTTTACAAACTTTTAAAATTTCATAGTAACAACAATAGTAAAGGTGTACTGACAACTCAACTCTGTAATGATCATGAACACTTTTCAGTTATAACCATTATCTGTCCTTCTTATCCCACATTCGGGCCCTGACCGCAACTACATTCCTCCACCTCCGCCACATTGCCCGCTCCTGACCCTACCTCATCCCAAATGCTGCTGAGACCTTCAACCACGTCTTTGTCATCTTCTACCTCAACTTCTCAAATCCACTTCTTGTTGGTCTCCCCAGTTCTTCCATTCAGAACGTCCAGCTCTTGCAAAACGCTGCTGCTTATGTCCTCACCCTACCAAACTCTGGATGCCCATCATTCCAACCCTTGCCAGGCTCCACTAGTTATCTAGCATCTCCCTACCTCTTTGAACTTTTCGTATCTCACTCCTCTGTCTGCGCCCTTCACACAGATGCCACTGCACCTCTGTGGGTCCTCCACCACCATTGATGACCATGCCTTCAACTACAATGCCCATAACCTCCAGAACTCCCTGCCTCAAGTGCTCTGTCTTGCCCCTTTAAATCCCAGCTTAAAACCTACCTCTTCAACTGTGCCAATGTCACCTCCCACAACTCCTTTGCTTGGCATTCAACCCCACTACTGTGCAGCTTTACGAGATGCTATCCTGCGTATTGGTGCTATATACACGCACAAAATATCCAGTCAATTCACTTTACAGTATATTCTGTGAAGTGCTTTGAGACGTCTCGAAGATGTGATAAAGCGCTATATCAAATGCAACGATTATGCTTTGTTCAACATTTGACTCCTTGATTTGGCAATTGCATTTGAACTCTCCTAGACAGTCTAGAGGTGAGAATGATTGCAAAAGCTGATATGGGAGACCTCAAGAATGTATTGCAGCATGGATTCTAAGAGGATAGCTGCTTCACCTACCCTGTAATACACGTTCTGTTCAAGTCCTGTGGCTCACTAGTTAGAGAGCTCGCCTCACAAGTGACAACGGCAGCCACAGCAGTGTCCTACAAACAGTCGTGGATTGAGTGATCAAATTATTATTATTTTTTTGAAGGAATTCTTATCCCCGGAAAAGCGATCCGCCAATTGACTAGCAGCAGGGTTCCACTTACTGCTAGGTAAACAGAGGCATGTGGAGTAAGGAAACTTGCCCAACGTTTCACTCTTTGAAGTTTTATGTACCATTTCTCTGATGAATTCTCTCCTGGATTGTGGTGGAGTGGAACTTGTCTTTATAGTTATTTAAACATCACTCCCTGGACCAGTGTTACTAAAAGGTAATAAATAATTTTAATATTACATCCATGAAACAAGCAAATTTAGCAGTTCTGTCTCCATCTCCACCCACACTCTCATGCTCATCCTCACCTCCAATGCCAACTGCGAGGCAATGCTGGACTTCCTTGAAACCAAAGTTGAGGGGATCTGCTCAGGTGCCTCTGCCCTTCTGTCTACTCCCCTTCCCCATCTCCCCCTCACACCCGGGCCCCTACCCATCCCTCCCTCCACACCTTTGAACCTGTCTCCCACTCCTCTTTTACGGGACGGCCGTCATCACTCTTATCCTTAAAAAACACTCCCTGCATCCATTCCTGCTCTCTAACTACCACCCCATCTCCAACCTCCCTTTCCTTTCTAGTTGTTGCTTCGCTCCTTCCTTTCCCACCACTCCCTTCATGAACCCCTCCAATCGGGTTTCCATGCTGCTTACAGCAACAGCTCTGGTTAAAGTTACAAATGACATTCTGTCCATCTGCGACCAGGGCTCCCTCTGCCTCCTCGTCCTCTTTAACCTCTCTGATGTCTTTGATACCATTGACACTCTATCCTCATCCACTGTCTCTCCTCTCACCTCAACATTCATGGTTCTTGAATGGTCCAGATCGCACCTCTCACACCGTCTCCACTTCATCTTCACAAATGGTTTCTCGTCTAGCCCCTGGACAGTCTCGTGCGGCGTTCCTCAGGGCTCTGTCCTTGGTCCCCTCCTCTTCAATATCTATATGCTCTCTCTTGGTGACTTCAGAAGACATGGGGTCAACTTCTTGTAGCTCAGTGGAGTCCTGTAACTCAGTGGTTAGAGCACTCGCTTTGCAAGTGAGAGACCTGAGTTCAATCCAGGCAGAGCGAAACCTTGGGCAAGTTTCCTTACTCCACACAGAGCCTAATAATAATCCCTCCAAAACCCAAAACAATAATAAATTGGTCATTTTCAATCTACGACTGTTTGTGGGACATTGCTGTGCGCAATTGGCTGCCGCGTTCGCCCACAAATATACAGTCAATTCACTTTACAGTGTGTTCTGTGAAGCACTTTGGGACGTCCTCCCGACGTGAAAAGCGCTATATCAAAATGCAAGGATTATTATGCAGATGATACTGAACTATATCTGTCTGCCTCTATCCTTGACTCCAGGACCACTGCTGTCCTGACAGAATGTCTATCAGACATCAAGTCCTGGATGATGAGACCTAACTTTCTTTATTTGAACGTCAACAAGAGGATTGGCTCCATCAACGCCTCCACACCTCAGGCACTGACAGCATCATTATCCCAAGATGGCACACTCCACCTTGCTAAGCCAGTCTGGAGCCTTGGCATCTTGTTTGACCCTCAACTATCCTTTCTAGCCCACATCTGTGCCATGACCCGCTCTGCCTTTTCCCATCTCCGCAACATCGCCCGGCTCCGCCACTATCTCACACTGCAGGCTGCCAAACCCCTCATACATGCCTTCATAATATCCAGGCTTAACTATGCAAACTCCCTGCTTGTCGGCCTTCCCAACTGTTCCCTCCATAGGCTGCAGATCATCCAGAACTCTGCAGCCCGCATCCTCTCCTGCACCAGGCTCAGTGACCCTACCATCCCCATCTTCGCCCGAGTCCGCTTCAAAATCATGGCTTCACCCCCCCCCCCCCCCAACTCTATGACCTCCTAACCTCAACTTGCCCGCTCCCTCCCCTCAGCGGGCTCCTACCTGCTTCATGTCCCCTGCTTCACCTGCCCCACCAATGGCGGGCGGACCTTCAGCCACTCTGCCCCCACTCTCTGGAACTCTATCCCGCAGTTCCTCCACCTCGCCACCCCCCACCCTTGCCTCTTTGAAGACCCATCTCAAGACTCTCTGCTTTGATCACCCTCCTTGTCCGCTACTCTCCACCCTCCCCAATCCTGACCCCAGCTCGAGTCCGAAGCACCAACTGTCCAGAGCCTTTGGACGTCCTCCTGACGTGAAAGGTACTATAAATGTAATTTTGTTGTTGTTGTGCTACCATTCGTCACCTAGTTATTAAAAGTTGTTTATGTAACATCTGTCCAACTACTTTGTTACACTACAAATATACCAATCCAGTTGCTCTGAGAATATTTATGCTGAATAGGAGATCTTCTGTGCTCCTAATTTCTTGTAAACCATAGGTATTGCAGCTGTTATACTCAGGACAGTTACCAATTCTTATTTAAAATATTGACCAAAGGGCAGCGTAATTGATTTTAGCCTGAAAACTTTCCTCTTTGATTGTGCATACACCACCTCCCCCTGGCTCGGAGTCAGGCTCCGCCACTGTTATGCGCTCTAAGACCCTATCCTATGTGGAGCGTGCTATATAAGTGCAAGTTGTTGTAGTCTACTGGCATTGGTAAATATAGGATTGATGTGTTCTGTTGGTTCCCTTGCCTGCAGAAGCAATATGTCACAGGGAGAGCTCAAAAGCGAAGGAAATCTTAAATTACCAAACAAAACGTATACATTGACCTAAAGCTGTTTTTAAAGAATATTAATAATGCTGTTATCACCCACTTCTCAAGATACACTGCCCTCCCTGATACTTCCATGTTCTCAAATTACTTACCTATCTCTAAACTTTCCTCTCCAAAGTGTTGGAATGAGTTGCTTCCCAGATTCGATCTTTCATTTCCCAGAACGTCCTCTTCTGCCCAAGACTCCCCTGGTCAAAGTAACCAATGACATTCTTCGGCCTCTGTGGTCAGGCTCTCTCTACCTCCTCTCTGCTGCCTTCTATTGACCACACTGATTTTCTCTTATCTCACCTCTTTGCTACATCTTCATACTTGTGCCCTATTCTGGTTTCACTCCTACCTATTTCCACTGTCTATTCAACAGCTTCACCTCCCGCCCCTGCACAGCCACAAGATCCATCCTCGGTACTCTCCTTTTCACTACCAATATGCTCCCACTTGGTGACATCATCATAATAATAATAACATCATCTGCAGATATGGGGTTCCCTTGCACATGTATGCAGAATACACCCAGCTCTATCTCTCTGACATGAAATCCTAGACGAGCTCTTAACTTAGTTAAACATAGACAAGACCAAACTCTCCTACTCGGCTTCTGTCAGTGCTTTCTCATCTCAGGCACTGACAGCATTAACCTGCTTGGGGACCCCAGAGTAATTGTTGGGGTACTGCTCAAGTTTAACCAGCTAAGACCTTTAAGTAAATAGTACATATATACAGGGTGACCAAAAAGTTGACACATTGTCTTAAAAAATATATAATTTCTTTAAGACTTATTAGACATTGTAATGGTATCACAACTTTTTGGTCACCCTGTATTAATGCATTATCTGTACTTAACATTCTGTTGCAACCACACATAAAGATTGCTGTATAAAGGCAAGTTGTAGCAAATGATTACTTTAAAACACCTTGATTTTGAAACAATTACATTTGCTGTGCAATACGATTTGGACAAGAAAACTGCAGATGTTAACACTGAGTATAAATGTAAAATTGTAAATCTGTTTAAACATCTGCATTTACAAACAATCTGTATCATTTGTTCTCTAGGATATTGATTTGATCGATGTTCTTTGGAGGCAAGATGTAGATTTGGGGACAGGATGTGAGGTGGTGGGTTACAATTATCGAAACAAAGAAAATGAGTGTGGAAAATTAAAGGAGAAAGGTGATCTGGAAAAAGACCCTGAGAATGGTCAACAGGAGACCAGAGATTATCCAGCCCATTTATCAACTTGTGACGAGGATATCGGGATCTCTGAGCAGCAATCTGAAGTAAGTTATAAGTGCTGTCCTTTTTACTTAGAAAATATGTACATTTATTCTTGTTAACCAAAACAATCCAGTTTCTTAATGCAGGTGTTCAATGAGCATCATCATGTATTTGATAAAGGTAGGTTGATCATGGGTGATCAATGGACTTTATTTGTATGAATATTTGGTATTTGATAAGGTTTTGCAGAAAGATTTAATTCAGGAGCATGAAAATGTGCGTGCGCTTGAGTATAATAAATATATGTATATATATATAGTTGTAGTAAATTGTGATGAGCAGAGAATTGCAAAAGAATACACAAAAAATTAAGCAAAGGCCCCAGGTTCAATCTTTGTCTAAGCCTTTAGCCAATGTCACCTGGAGCTGCATAAAATTGGAGGAACTGAACAAAGTGGAGGCAATGCAATTTAATGCAGAATTGTAAAAGACATTTTATGTGGTAATAATGGAAGATGGGATTAGTTTGAAATTTGGAAGCAAGGGGGGAGAAAGGAGGAAAAAAGAAGAGGTTGAGGTTAGATGGACAGAGATTTTAGTGACCAGTTACATTTAAGGCCAGTTTTCAGATGCAGAAAATCTAATGGGATGCTAAAATTTATCATAAGTCTTACAAACTTAAGAAAGGGAATACAGCAGTTATACAGATCTCTGGTTAGACTTCAACTGGACTTAGATGCTTAATTTTAAGCATCTCATCATAGGAAAGAATTGATTAGATAGATGGGGAATGATTTCCCTCTAGTAGGGAATCCAAAATAGGGGGACATCATTTTATGGAGTTTGAGCTAATCCAGTTAAAAGTCAATTCAGAAAATATTTCTTTGCATCAAGATTTGTAATTTTTCCCCCAGAAGATTATAGATATAGAACCAATTAAGAACCACTACAAATAGTGTCTAGGATATAAATAGCTACTTTGAATAAAATATTCAGAGATAAGTACATTCAATAAAAATATTCAGGGATATTAGGAAAATCAGGGGAATGGGATTTTCAACATAGAGCTACCATGAGTTCATCAAATGGTGCACAGTACTAGGAACAAGTTGGCAAGAAGCCAGGCTTTGGTACCCCCTGAATTTGTGTTGGGGGTGTTGCTGGAGTTTAACCAGCTAGCTTGCCATTGAAGCAATGTGTAGAAAGCTTGTCATCTTGGACCACCCTACCTGTTAGGTCTTTGGTCTGTAGGGTTAACCGGAGCTGAGTGAAAAGAATCCCTGTCCTTCCAAGTACTATTGATGAGCCAGGCTGACTGATTTGTCATCAGCAGTATCCTGAGTACCTGTGGCTCAGGATCAAGACCACCACAGATATTCGGTTCTGGCCTTCTGTTGCTAAGCATGTCACCTTGGAGTCGGTTCAGCTCAATGATAGTCATTGAGGGAAGTTATGGTGGCAACTTAACAACCCAGAAGTCAAATCAGTCCAAGCCAAAATGGGGCCAATTGGTGTTAAACCCCACACGTTTGCAAGGCACTTAATAATGTCTTGTACTTTATTTGTGTCTTTAAAAATCTTCTGAATATAATAAAGGATGTTGATTTGTTACAGTAGCTTTCAATAAATTGCATGTTTTTGTTAAATTTGCAGTTGCAACCAAGACATCTGTTGGAATCCATTGCAGGCACCCATGCAATCTTGCCAAGTTCCCCTAATAATGCAATATTTGATTTACAACCAAGCACTTCACATCTGCTCTCACAGATAGACTTCTCTATAGATATGGAGCAACAATGGCAAGACTTGATGTCCATCGCTGAGCTGCAGGTGAGCAATTGTTTGGAATACAAGTGGTATAATTAATATTGTGGTCACGCACCAGAAAGTGGAGCCATGATTTCCCTCAAACCTATTATACCTCACAATGAGGAGGTGCTAAGAGAAGATCCAAATAAAACACTTCAATAGTAATTTGTAGCAACAGAATCACTTTGTGATTGTGGAATTCACTTTTCACTATCGGTTTTAATTTTAAGATGATTACCCTTCCCGCCTTGCTGAGTTCTTCTACCAGAGGAAATCGTTGTTCCCTATCTGTTCAACAATCCCCCACATAAAATTGGTCATTCACTTCATCGCTTTTTGTGGGATATTTTTGTGCACAAATTGTCTGCTGCGTTCACCTACAAATAGTCACTACGCTTTACAGTAAAATCCTGTGAAGTCCTTTGAGTTGTTTCAACATAATAATAATAATTCTTGCATTTGATATAACGCCTTATTACGTCTCCTAGACGTCTCAGTGCTTTACAGAATATACTGTAAAGTGAATTGACTGTATATTTTGTGGGTAAAACGCAGCAGCCAATTGCACACAGTGGTGTTCCACAAACAGTTGTGGATTCAGTGACCAAATTTGTATTTTTTATTTGAAGGGATTATTATCCCAGGGAAAGCTATCCTACTTGCTGCTAGGTAAACAGGTGTGTGGAGTAAGGAAACTTGCCTAAGGTTTTGCCCTTAATAGGACACTACATAAACTCCTGATAACATGACCCAGGCTTAACTTGTCACTACTACCTAAGTCACCATGCTGTCAATATCCCGGCCACTTCTCATGCAAAATGTTAACAAGGGACTCCACTCTACTGTCACTCCAGTTAACATATAACTAGTCGCAGTCTAGAAATTCTTGTAAATACTTACAATGTAAAATTGATCAGCTAACTCATCCAATAAGATGTTTTGAATCACAAGACCTCTTGCCCTATCCTGTGACTGCTGTGGGTACTTGGCGGAGGTTGGATGCGAATGCTCAGACGCTTTGCAGAGGACCCTATTGGAGGGCTGCGCCATGGCCTCCCGCCCTATCCTATGACAACCCCAACCTCCCCCGAGTGCCTTACCAGTTACCGCACCCTCTTGTGGCTGGGGAGGATCTAAATCACCCCTCCAAATAACTTCACTGAGCTCTTTTCCCTTGGAGTGACAAGTTATCCGAAGTTTACTGTATATCAAATGCAAGGTTTATTATCTTTGACAATAGCTGTGAACGTCATTTCAGGCATCATTCTGATGAATTGTTACTAGCCATTCTCAGTGGTTTGCATATTTTTCTTGATGAGGTGACCAAAACTGACTCGGTACACCAAATGAGATCTGACTAGGGATCTAAAACTGTAATAGTACTGATAATTTTGTATATGGTATAAGTGAATTTATACCTTCAAATCCTAACTGAATGCAATAATCTGTTGTGGTTAAACCTTTTGAATCTTCTTTTTTAAAAAGGGAATAACTGTAAATAATGCTGTTCAGTCCTTGTTTGGCAACAGCACAGACACTGCCATTGCAGTGCCTAACTACAATCAACACTTCTCTACAACAATCCATCATGATGCAATGCTATCTCACTCCAGCCATGCCTTCACTATTTCTAGCCCAAATGCAGACTTTTCTGAATTTTCTGATAGAAGTCTGAGTTTCAACAATTCGGTGAACTCCACTTCATCTTCATGTTCAACGAACTTGACAAGAATGCTATCCACTGAAAATTCAACAGGAACATCAACTCGAAACCTTTCTGCTTCTCTGTCAAATCTACTTGATGAAGCAATGTTGGATGAGATAAGCTTGATGACATTCACCATGGAAGAAGGATTTGAACCAATGAATACCTCTCTTGCCTCAGAAGAGCCTGAATCTGATTCTGGACTCTCATTAGATACAAGCCCTGGTTCCAGTTCTACAAACAGCTCACAGTCATCTTCCTCTTTGTCCTCTGATGAAGAAGGTGCTGTGGGTTACAGCAGTGACACAGATGTGTTGGAAGGAGCAGTTGGTGGATATCGGCCAGAATACAGTAAAATATGTCGCATGGATTATCAAGAATATTATCATTCTTTGGATTCACTTGAGCACATATATCATAATCATTCTTATAACCTCTCACCAGGTGAAATATCTTCTAGCCAAATAAACCACCAGGCTGTAGAAATGAAGAGCGTGAATGGCAAATGTAAAAGTAGCCTAGACCTGAATATTACTCGAGATGAGCAGCGAGCAAGATTGTTGAGAATTCCTTTCTCTGTTGAGGACATTATCAATATGCCAGTGGATAAGTTTACCGAGTTGCTGTCTATGTATGATCTTAATGATGCTCAAATGGCTCTTATCCGTGATATTCGTAGGAGAGGCAAGAATAAAGTTGCTGCTCAAAACTGTCGCAAGCGCAAACTTGAACGTATTGTCAATTTGGAAGATGATGTGGAAAATCTAAAAATGCAGAAGGAGAAACTTCAGAAGGATAAAATTCAGTACAACAAGTCAGTAAATCTCATGAAACAAAAACTAAGTAATCTCTACCGAGATGTGTTCAGCAGACTGAGAGATGAATATGGGAGACCTGTCTCGCCAAATCAATATTCTCTTCAGTGTGGCACTGACGGTAGTGTACTGATTGTGCCTCGCAGACTGATGTCATCTGAACAGAAACCAGACAAAAATAAAAAGGAAAATAAACACTAATGTGAAGATTTCTAGATCTCACTTAAATAACCATTTGTGTCATTCTGAGTTAGAACAGTGCTTGTTTGAGATTACTCAATGTAAAAAGGTATAACTACTAATTTCAAAAATTACATTATAGCTGTTACCCATTTGGAAAAATAATCTGTAGTGGAAAAAATCAGTTATGATTAATTTATTGTGGTCCATGATCTTTGATTATGTACTATAAAATTACTTCCTTTGTTTTGCTTCTGGTCAGAAACAAAGTCCATTACCCTGAATTGCAATGTTTTCTTGAAATTAAACTTTCAGTTTTCCTTCCTCAATTTTAACGTCCAAAGATTTTATGAATACTTGATATTTTCAGTGATAAGTCAACCTAATATCAAAACTCAGGCACATTGATGATTCAGTTGACAAAGGATTATTTCTATTATGCAGTAAAGAACAATGTTGTTTTTTTCAGATTTGAATTAAATGCAATGGGTGTGTTTGTATATTGTGGCAATTTACTCGTATGGAGGATTTTGTGTTTTGTACGCAGATTGGTTTTAGTCACTGAACACATTTTTTCATTATCTTATTGAATGGCATCAATATGTCACATAAAATGTCTTTAATTTATGGATTTAAAAAAAACTTTTGGTATTTGGTTTGTGCCGAGTGTGATGTGTCACTGCCTGTTTTTGGTTTATAAGTCCTGGAGGCTATTAAAAGAATTTACTTGGTTCTGTTTATATGGGCATTTGCAGGCAAACTGGAGTTGCTGAATAAAATGTTTTACACTTTTTATAATTTTGAGTTTGCGTATACTTTATTAGCTTGTTTCCATCTCCACCTGTTAATTTCCTTAAACTCTTCCGAGATCCTTAGTACCAAATACCTAGCAGAAAAAAGGAGTGAAAAATGCAGTGTTTTTACAGGTTTGATAAGTTATCAAATGTGTTGAAAACACCTTTATGGGTCATTTTTTAATTAGCCAGGGGTCAGGAGGTCTGACGCATGCAGAAACTGAGCACCATGCTTAAGAGTATACAATCCAGAGTTCCACACATGGGATTTTCCTGTGATTGGAGGATGTGCTCTCTCCTTTTGAGAGACATATATTGCATATCTAATGTCTTAGGGACTCAGAGTACGTGTTGGGATACTGCTGGAGTTTAACCAAATCACATAGTTTATCGCAAGTTCTCTCTGGCAAGATTTCTGATAATTGTTCAGCTAAGACCACCCTTTTCAGGGCTTTTACATAATTAATCATTCTATCCTCTTCCACCTCCTCTCACCTCAACCTTCATGGTTCTTTCCTTTCACCCAAGGGCGAAACCTTGGGCAAGTTTCCTTACTCCACATGCGTAGTAATAATCCCTTCAAAGAAAGCAGTAACAAATTGGTCGTTGGGACACTGCTGTGTGCAATTGGCTGCTGCGTTTTGCCCACAAATATAGTCGATTCACTTTACAACATATTCAGTGAAGCGTTTTGAGATGTCTAGAAGACGTGAAAAGTGCTATATCAAATGCAAGGATTATTATATTATTGTCCTTGACTGGTTCAGATCCTGCCTTTCACAATGTCTCCACTTTGTCTCTACAAACAGCTTCTCTTCCAGCCCCCATGCGGTCTCATACAGCGTTCCTCAGGGCCCTGTCCTTGGTCCTCTCCAATATCTATATGCTCCCTCTTGGTGACATCATCTGCAAACTTGGGGTCAACTTCCACATGTATGTGAATGATACCCAACTTTATCTCTGCCTCCACCCTCGACTCCAGGACCACTGCTGTCCTGACGGAATATCTGTCAGCCATCGTCCTGGATGAGAGTTTAACTTTGTCCAGTTGAATGTGAAGACCAAGGCCCTCCTGATTGGTTCCTGTCAGCACCTCCATACATCAGATACAGGCAACATCCCCATCCAAGGATGCACACTCCACCGAGCCAGTCTACAACCTTGCCATCTTGTTTGATCTTCAACTATTCTTTCAATCCCAAATCCATGTATGACCTGATCTGCTTTCCCCCACCTCCACAACATCGACCGGCTCTGCCAATGCCTCCCCCCTCAGGCTGCTGAAATCCTCATCCACGCATTTATTATATCTCGGCTCGACTATGCCAACGATATCACCCCCACCCTCGCCCGGCTCCACTGGCTCCCTATTCCCCAGAGAATAAGCTCAAAATCCTTGTCCTCGCCTTCAAGGCGCTCCCCGGGCTTGCTCCTTCCTACCTGTGACCTGTGAACCCCGTATCAACCTATCCACTCTTTGCAGGCTCCAGCCTGCTCCATATCCCTCGCCCGGCCCGCCTCACCATTGGCTGTCTGGCCTTCAGCTTCTCTGCCCATACCTAACTCCATCCCAGTCCCTTCGTCTTGTTCCCTCCCTTGCCTTCTACAAAACTCATCTCAAGACCCTCTTCTTCGACCGTGCCTTTGTCCGTCCTCCTCCTCCTATTCTCCTTGCCCTCCACCACTCTTACTCCCAACCCGCTCAGGTCCAAATCCCCGACTGTCCAGCGCCTTGCGATGTCATCCTAATGTGAGAGGTGCTATACAAATGTAATTTGTTGTTTTATCTGGGGTATATATTTATGGGTTGTGTTTTAAAACATTCTTTGTTAAATTACACTGGTATATATGGTCACCCAATGGCACTTCTCTCCTGGGAAGTGGAAGATTTTAAGGTAATTCTGGTCCCCCTGAGGAACTTCTAACCCATTTGAATTGAATATTTGTTTTACAGGGACCAGCTGCTGAGTTAAAATTTCCCCAGTCCAGAAAATTTTATTGGAAAGCGCAATCCCGATGCCTTGGGTCTAAAATCATTTGAAAACATTGTTGGTGCATTTAATAAACCAAGCCCTTGTTGTTGCAGACTGTACAAGGGGCGGTGGACTCCACTTGTGATTTTTTTCTTCTAGTCGGTGTACCTTGCTCAAGCAGCAATTCACAAGTTTTGGCTCAGTTGTTAGTAGCCTTTCCTTTGGGTCTTGATTGTTAGCTCAACCGGCATGTCTGGAATTGATCTCCTAATCTTTGCTGACACTCCAGTATAATACTGCATTGTTAGAAATGTCATTCTTCAGATGAGATGTTATTGTTAAAATCTGCTTGTTCATCAAGTGAATATTAAAGAAACTGTTTCCTCGTGTCCTGGCAAATGAATTGGCCAGTCACCCGATGATGTAACTTTGCTGTGTGCTTAGACATTAAACTCTATGAAGACTTATCTAAATGCAAGTTGTGTGTGAAATTGCAAGAAAACTTTGCCTACAAAATTATCTCTACTGTAATGTGTTAACATCTTGCATTTATAAAGTGCCCTTTACATAGAATAAGTCTCAGAGCTCTATAGGAGCTTGGTTAAGACAATGCGTAAAGAATGCTGATAGGCACAGATGATGGTGACCATAGGCATGGTCAAAGAGATAGGTTTTTCAGGTGGGATATAAAGATGAAGAGGAGCAAGGTAGATGGATTAAGGCTGGGAGTTCCTAGATTAGGGTGTAGTAGCTGAAGCTATAGCCAGTGATGGTGGTGTGTCAGGGTCAGATGTTAACCTAGCGAAGGGTGTTGGGCAGAGGAGTGGAGTATGAGCAGGTCAGAGGTAGGGATGTGCTAGGCCATGAAGGGATTTGTATGCAAGGATGAGGATCTTCGAATCAATCTGTTTGGACACCGGGAACTAGGCAAGGATTGAGGCAATGGGTGTAGTTTAATGCGGGTAAGAATACAAGCAGCAGAGCTGGTGGATGGTAGAAGTGGGGAGACGCCAAACAGCAAAGTGCATTTGAGAAATCAAGGCAGGTTACTAAAGTGTGGATGAGGGTTTCAGATGTTTATGTTAATCTGCACCCGGGTTTGAATCAGAGTTAAGAGCCAGAGATGAGGATATTAGTGGGAGCCAAGGATGATGGTTTCAGTCTTGTCCATGTTACGACGCAGAAAGTTGTTGCTCATCCAGGCCTCATTGTCTGGAGTCTAAACATATAAACATACACACCCAGAGCTTGGTACTATTTTTATTGAGTGCAGAGGTAAGCAGCTATCAGAACCTCCACCCATTCCCACTGATTAAATTACCATGTATAAATGTAAATTTACATTGAGGTCATGCTCAAGTTGTCCACAAATTTCCTGATTTCCTGATACCTGCTATCCAAACCAAGTTGGTTGTCATAGCTAAAGATCAACTTGTGGAAATTCACAATGTAGGAAGTAGGAACTCGCTTGTTAGTCGATTGGCGGATTGCTGTTCCAGGGGTAATAATCCCTTAAAATAAATTTGGTCACTCAATCCACGACTGTTTGTGGGACAATGCTGTGCAGTTAGCTGCTGCGTTTTGCCCACAAAATAGTCGATTCACTTTACAGTATATTATGTGAAGCGTTTTAATACGTCTCAAATCAAATGCAAGGATTATTGTTGTTAGAGGAAAAGGAGTAAGCAGAGTAAATGAGGCTGAACTAGTTCCAAGTTAACATGGTTGGCAATGGTGGATCATAATCAAGTCAGTCTGAGTTGTCTTGATACCTGAGCCAGGCAATTGTAAGTATTCCAGGACATTGTGGATCAGCCAGCTAGCTGGCTTGCTTCAATGGCAGGATTTGGAGGAGCAACCTGTCACTGGAGGCTGATTCTTTCCACTTGGCTGCAGATATCCCTGCAAGCTAGAGACCTAATGTTTTTAAATGGTGCTCTGAGATAGTGTCAGATATTTAGCTGACCAAAAAGCACAATGATTTCATGTGGTTCTGTATATTCCTGGACAGTTAGGGTATTTTCAAAGAAAAATATGGTTAAAACACCCAAAGCACACCATATTAGCAACTTTACAAGTTAAGATTGATTTTCTCACTCAACCCAAAATACAGCTTGTGTAGGAAATGAGTCACAATGATATCAACAACAACAAAATTACATTCATAGCGTGCCTTTCACGTTGGGAGGACGTCCAAAAGCGACATGGAGTAGGCCGGAGCCCGCTGAACTGAGAGTGCGACCAGGTTGGTAGGGAGTCAGCAGGTCAGAGAGGTAGGAGGGGGCAAGGCCATGGATGGCCTTGAAAGTGAGGACGAAGATCTTGAACTCGATCCTCTGGGGGATGGGGAGCCAGTGGAGTCGAGCGAGGGTGGGAGTGATGGGGTCACGATGCCTGGTGCGCGAGAGTACATGAGCTGCAGAGTTTTGGATGACCTGCAGCTTGTGAAGCGAAGAGTTGGGAAGGCCGATGAGGAGGAAGTTTCCGTAATTGAGCCTTGATGTGACAGCCATACACTATTTACATCATATGAATACCATACACTAGTTTACTGCTGCTTGCAACTGACTTCCAGCTACATTGGTACCAGGGCCAGGACTACCTTCCCTTCAATTGTGATTTAATAAAGTTAGGATATTGCTTAGACAACAGATTTGTCTAAGCAAATTTTGCTTGTGTCTGATTTAAGAATATTTACCAAAACGCCTGATGAAAATAAAGCAAATTATTGAAGCTGTAAATTTCAAGCAGATGGTTTCCAAACTAGAAATGTTTCCATTAATGTGAAATAGGATTTTAGTAATAGACTCCATTTGAAACGTTTTCAGAGAGGAAAGAGAAACCAATTCATAGAAAACTTATGACATTTATTCCCGAAAGGTTGCAGTCATATTACCAAAGATTAAGCTTCTAACCCTTTTCACAGTTCAACTCGTTCAGGAGGGCAACTTATTTACACATTACTTAATAGTATTTTTAGTTTTGCTACATATCTTTTAAAACAATATAAGCAAGTTGAACCTTTGAGTTAGCATTCCTTTATGCTAATACAACACACGTACTCATCATCAACCATTCTGAATGGTGCCTTCCAGCCATACTTACCAGTGTCAAATTTAAACAAGATCTTTCCAAAGATCAGCAATCTCAAATCTGTTAAGACAGTATTTTGGTGAAATGGAACTACAATATTACATGTTTTTCCAAATATTACAAAAACATTTTCCCAAGATTTTAAACAAAATAATAAAAAAAATTTTTTAAAAAACGTTCACAGATCTAGACACTCTTCTTAAAACAGCCATTCCCCTCAATTCTGCAGTACAGCTCCTGGAGAGGGAGTAAAAAAGAGTATGTCACATCCCAAGTGAAATTTCCAATTTAATATTTTTAACATACATTTTCATTTTCTTTCATGAGCTACAAATCTACAGGCCTCTTTCCAGTATGAACCAAGGTGGATGAGTGCCAATGGGCTATTTGAAACATTTCAATGCAGCAACCAGCGAGCAGGAAGTCTCAAATTTTCTCTTCACTACCCTGGGGATTTTGAGGTAAACTGTAAAGGAAGTTGAGATCAGATTTCAAAGAACTGGGATCAAACTAGATCAGTTTGAACAAATCAGTGGTAAGAGTTCTTCCTGCCACACAGAAAGCACAGATTTGATTCTCAGCTAATGCAAATTATTTCAACTCATGGAGTATAAGCACCAGAATGAACAAAATGGGCTGAAAGGCCCGTTTCCAATCTACGTAAATGTGAACCTTGATGAACAGTGAATCTCATTATGCACACTTAACCATTGGTTAGCTTTTCTTAATTAGAAAGTTAAAATTATTGGAAGCACAAAATTAGTTATCTATTTTCAATTGCTCAAATACCAAACCTTAATTTAGTATTTTAAATGTTCCCTAATAGAGCATGAATTTAGATTAATTTCATACAATTTGCAAAGTGATTACATTGAGGGCAGAATGTGTTTGGATCAAATATTGTGCTAATTGCTCCTCCCTTATCTGCATTTTCCAGTAGTGTCAAATGGACAACAATCAGCATCTGGAGACCCATCTTGATTTTTTTTGTCCCCCTCAATTTAGAAGGGCCTGTTCAATGGAGCAAGTTTAAGCAATCACTCACGTATGGATGAGACACTAATTCAACAGAGATTGCAAATCACATTTGAAATCTCTCCCGTCTGTATATTACGTACCAAATCACAGGGTATCTATGTATCTTAAAATACAGAAAGTTTATACAAATGTCAATATAAAGGGACAAAATCCGAGAAGTGATATTAATCAAGTCATTGGTGATGATGAACATACCTCATTTATTGTAGTTTGATAGAAAACTTATCTTTCTAATCCTCATCTTTTAGGTGTTCTTCATATTATCCGCTTATCAATTTCTGCAGCACAACTAAATATTTAGAAACACAGAAATCAAGCCTGCACCAGCTCACAGAGCAGATTGCTTCAATCCCACGGACTCTTGACTCCACCACCCTACTCAGCAAAGTATTCCACATCCCAACTACTCTGGATGAACAAAATTCCTCCTAACTTCTCATTTTGTTACTCTTGAGGCTGTCTTATATCTGTGTTTCCTAGTTATTGACTCCCCTATCAATGGAAATTATGTTTCTCTATTTAGACTACAAAACCCCTCATAATTTTGTACAGCTCAATCAGGCCCCCCTTCAACCTGTCTGGTCAAATGAAAACGTGCCCTGCCTTTCTGATCTCTTCCCATAACTGTAGCCCTTCATCCCTGGAATCGTAAACTTTCTCTCTCCCCCCCCCCCCACCCCCCTTTCCAGAGCCTTAATATCTTTCCTGAAGTGAGGTGCTCAGAAAATTAATTATAGTATATTATGAACTGGCAAATATGGAAATGAAATCTTTCCAGTCACAAGTTTAAATGTTTCTATGCAAACAAATAGTCATCCTGTTTTTTTCCCCTACACAGTAGTTAGGTCATACAATGCCTGTGGTTGAGGCAGAATCCATATTAGCTTTCAAAAAGGGACTAGATACCTAAAAAACACAAACTTCAGGGGCATGGGAAAAGGCGAGGCAAATGGGGCTGAAAGCATTGTTCTTAAAAAAGTCACGGAACAAATACAATGGGTCAAATGGTCTTCTGTGCTATAAATTTCTATATTCTGTATTGTAGGGCATGATATCCTGAGCAACTACCAAGAGAGTTCCACTATAATGCCAAGCAGAGTCTTGGGATCAAATCATCCAATCTTCTAAGTTTGGAGAAGTATCATTTCACTAGATTGAACATATAGAAATATAGGAGTAGGCCATTCACCCCTTCGAGCCTATTCTGCCATTCTATTAAATCATGTAAAGATAATCCAGAAAATGTAAGTAGCTGTCCACAATAGAGTTGTTTCTACCCATTTTTAATTTGTCACAGAAGTCAAAAAGATACATTTCAAAACCAAGTTCTATACAAATTAGAACTTTATAAATTAAATAGAATTTCAAGTGCACAAATGGTTCAGAAATTATACCTGTCCCACTAGATCTGCCACCATCAGTAACCAAGATTCTTCACTCCTAAACTCTGGAACCCCCTCCCTGTCGCCTTGAGACGTCCTCTCGACGTGAAAGGTGCTCTATAAATGGAATCTTGTTGTTGTTGTTGTCACCAATGTCAAGATTTTTAAAACCTAGGATATTGTTTATAAACAAGGCAGAAGCCACCATCCTTTGCTTTTGCCAACTTCTACATTCTGGCTCTAATCTCCTCAACCTTCTCTCCTAAACTCACTGAACTGTTGTGCATCCAGTTCAATCCTCAGCTCTCTCCTTCACATCCAGCCCTAATCAAGACAGTGTTTTTTCACTTCCATCACATCGCCCACCTCCAATCCAATCTCACACCAACCACTTATTCACGCCTTTGTTACCTCCCACCCAGACTTTTCAAACGCACATCTCTCTGGTCCAATGCCACCATTCAGCAGCTCCAACTTAACCAAACTCCATTGCCCACATCCTCATTCGCAAACTGCATGCCCATCACTCCATTCCTCACCAGGCTCCACTGGCTCCCTGTGAATCAATTTCAAAGTCTTTTCATCCTCATCTATAAGTCCCTTAACACCACACTCACCGATCTTCTCCTAACCAATGCCTCTGCTCAACTAACTTAGGTTTGTTGCATGCACATCACTCGCACCATCTCCATGCCACCATCAGTAACCAAGATTTTGCACCCCTAAACTCTGGAACTCCCTCCCTGTCTAAGTCCTGCATTGAAACCTACCACAACAACTATGCCTAGTCACCTCTCCTTCACCGTATCTGTCTAGCTTTGTAAAGCATTCGAGCCTTACCCCAATGAAGAGTAAATGTTTGACATGGAACACATCCTCCTTAAATTCACTGCAACTTTCAATGGTTTAATTTTCTAATAAATTTAGGATGAAAGTTGGTTTTGTAATATTCACAATTGAAACACTGGTGCAAATCAATGAATAATCCTTTGTTTCATACTTACATACTACAGTAGAGAATTAAACTGATCACATGTTTAATAGCCAAGACCACTGCCCTCACCACTGTGATTTGCGTTTCAGTGCAGCTCAGACCAGTTGATAGAGGTCAGTCGCTGGCTGAGGATGGTTACGATCACATGTGGAGTGAAGTCTGACAGCTCAGCCTAAGATTCAGTGGACAATCAATCAATGGTCCACCATCACACATTACCACCTTAAACAGCACAGAAAAGGTTTTATTAGCATATAGACAGACACACATGTAAGCTCAAGCTTTGCATTTTATGAAACTTTATATATAAACCAAGTGCTTTTAAAAAAAATGCAAAGTCCTACAAACTAAATATGTGATAATTTGGATCTAATTGAAATATGTGGTACTTTAGAACTACTAGAAAATACAAATATGTCTGCTACTTTGCTACAAACTATAATTGCATTGAGCACCTCTTCACTTCCGTTAAAAAGACAATTAAATAGTATCTTACCTACATGGTTAGCTATATTCTGCTCTATAAGACACACCTCAGTGTTTTCGTTCGCCTCCTCTTTAAATTTACTGCAGTTAAAAGCTTTTGTTGCATGAATACCGCTCACTGTTACAAGAGTGCTGGCTGAAATTAGGCTCCTTTGTCCAGACTTCTTGTGCTAGACCTGTTTTCTTGAAAGTGTAAACCACCTGCTGTTTTAACGACGGATCACGACTTTCCTGGCCGACGAGGTAGCTGCTGTATCTACAAGATCTAAGGAGCTCTCCTTCTTGCAGAAAACATGCTCAGTTCTAGCAGTTAATTCTGAGGACTTGAAGATTCATCTCTGTACCTTTTGTCTGATTAGCAGTCCTTCCATTTCTGAAGTACCCCCTGGCTGTGTCACATGAACATTTTACCCACCCACCACAAGACTATCTAAAAAAACAATTACACATCCCCTTTTATTTTTTTGGGATTTTTATTAAGTTATACTGTGGACATACAATATTTTCCAAACTCTACACACTGCAGATATTTAACATAGAAAGACTGAATATTGTAACTCCATGATCCTGGTTCATTTCACTCAAATTTCTCAGTGTCTCTAGAAATGTCAAAAATCCCCTCAAACTCACAAATAACAATTCCACATTAGAACTTATGTAGAACACTACAAAGATACTACAGCAAAGTAAATTCAAAAAAGCTAGAAATCTGTCTCCAAGGCATCTTTACAGTCCTTTCTCCATATCAAGAGTCCGCTTAAATAAACAATCCCAAGAATTGACAAAACGTTTTTTCTCTGCCTGTGCTCTGGAGTCTTCCGTCATCTTACTGCCTTTTTATGTTCCGCTGAGATAAATTTTTTCCTTAAAATTTTGCTGAGTGAATAACCTGCAGCTGTCCTGTAAACTCTGGGCTCTCATCCTCCCCTATTTATATAGTGATGCCTGTTACAATAAAATAGAGGTAAAACAGTGAGCAGCAGTTAATAATGGAAATCCAATGTTAGCTAGCCATTTAAAATTGAAATGGTGCATAGCCCTCAACAGTGGTGTGTTGAATGAACATTTACTTTGGGAACTCGCAATTTACAAAATATAAAGATAACAATTAAAAATACATATATTCCTCCGGAGAAAACTAGACATTTTTATGCACATTAGTGTGTATCTAACTAGGTCTTGGACACAAACAAAATGCATATCGTAAAATGAATACCCTATATTACTTAAAACTTCTTAAGATTCTAAAGGATCTAAACATTCAACACAACACTGAATGCAACTTGTTTTTGCTACTAATACTATACACACCATAGAAGCAAAGCAGATTAAAATTAGATGAACAAATCAAATACTTACCCTTGAAGTAAGATGTTGCAGAATTAATATCTCACAACTAATATCGGTTACGTCCACCAAATCCACCATTACCTCCACCACCAGGACCGTAGCTTCCTAGATTCATAGGAATGGGTTTATGAGGAAATATTTCAGGACATTAAATGCTTAGCTGATCTAATTAAAATAACATTTCCTTCATTCTTTTCAGTCCATCGTTCATATACATGATCTGAAGGTGAACACCAATTTAAGGACTCTCACTTTAGCCTCACTAATCATTAATAGAATATAATAGCCCAAGTCAAGAATCCCCCATTTTTTTGCCTAGGGATTACTTGACCAGTTCATTAACAATAAGATGCAAAAACCCATTTCCCAGAAAACATAACTGTTGGGGTGGGGGTGGGGGGTGTTGGGAGGAAGAGAGATAGGTTTTAAGCAGGCTGGAGATATACAAGGATAGATGAATTCATGTTTGGTTACAAAATACATAATCACTGCACTTTACAGAAAATCATGTGAAGGACTTTGAGACGTCCTCCTGACATCTAAGGCACCACATCAAATGCAAGGACTGTATGAATTTTTGCTCAATAACCTTTGAGAATCAAATTGATTTGTCAGCTCATTGATCTCATCCTTTCAAAATACCCATCCTACAGTACTACCTTTGAACCCCTGAACCTTTGCTCTCTTGATCAACTGTCTATAAGATCCCTTCTGAGATGTCTCTCTTCAAGGCCTGAAGAGTCCAAGCTCATTCCTCTAACAGTGGGAATCTCATTGCTGCCTCTACAATACCCATAGGGCCTGGGTAGCCTTCTTATGTCACAGCAACATAAGACGAATGCTCAAACCCTTGAAGTCCTGCAGAGGAGAGTGGGGTGAAATTCATTATTTTATGGGATACTGACGGTTGTTTGCCGATTCACTTTAATTTCTAATAAATTATATTTTCTAGAGCTTTGATTTATTTTATGTAAAAGGTGCTTTATTACATTATTTTTGTTATATGAAGAAGTGGTCGTGATGAGCCAGCTGGTCTTTTCTTGTTACATACTTTATGTTCTTATAATTCTTTGATCTAATAAACAAAGCAACACAAGCTTTAAATTTAGTTGGTATGAAATCTGCATGTAACCTGTGAGGGATGTGGGAAATGCAGGCGATATAATTCTTTAATAAACAGAAGTTCCACAGAAGCATTTTGGCAAGTTTCAGGCAGAAAAAGACACAAGCAGCTCCAATATGTTCAAGGATTATTATCGTCTCAAACAGTTCATAGGAAGGAATACAGCTGGACCAGTTGCCACTTCAGCTATCAATACAATTTATATTTATATAGTGCCTTTCACACTGGATCCACATCTCAAAGGCACAACACTGCTGGCTGGGAACCTGAGCTGGGGGTGGAACCTGAAGGAGTGGGGAAGGGAAAGATGAATGAAACCACAAAGTGAGGCAGTTGGATGGACTCTGGGATGGAGTTCCAGAGAGCAGGGACAGAATGATTGAAAGCCCACCTGCTGATGGTAGAATAGATAGGGTAGGGCACCTGAAGCAAGCCAGTATTTGCTAAGTGAATGGAGCTATCAAGGCAATAGGGCTGAATGTCACGGATGCAGGGTGGGATAAGATTGTGGAGGTGAGAATGAGACCTTGAATTCGATCTGTTGGGGGATGTGGAGCCAAGCAAGGGTGGGGATGATAGGTCCACGGAGTCTAATGCAGGAAAGGACAGGGACTGTGGAGTTCTGGATAGTCTACAACCCATATAGGGATGAGCCTAGGAGGACATTAGCATGACATTAGCAGTTAATGCCTGGACATGATGAAAGCTTGAAACAATGAGCTGAATGAAGTGATAACTCAAAATAAAATCAAAGGATCCCAGAAAATGAACTCCTCATTGTTTGGATACTTGTTGGTTGAAAGGCATGATAACTTTCGTAGATGGGTGCCTTTACATAATTGATTGGGGTACAAAAGAGAATTAATTTATTTGTTGCAGAAATCACATAATTTCCATTGAACCTCAAAGCTAAACAGCACTAGATTGTACAGGATTTCCTAAACATTTTTACTACTGTTTATACTGGCCAAAATCACAAACTTAATGTGTACAAACTGGGTCCCCTGAGTCTTCTTGATTTATCCAGCACTTTCAATTCAAACATGATATACTTTTCAGTTTTCATTCCCACCACTCCCAGGATCTTCAACTATGTCTTTTCTAATGACATCTTCTCCACATGACGAGGTCATGTGTGGCATTCCTCGGGGCTCTATCCTTGGTTCTTTCCTTTATTAGGATGACACCCAATCCAATCTTTTCTGCCTCCACCTGATTTCAGCACTAACTTTGTTCCGACAGAATGACTGACTACAACTTGCAGTTATATAACAACCTTTGTGCAGGGTAGCATCCTGGAGCGCTCAAGTGGTGAAGCTCGACACTAAGGCATGGATAGGTGACTGTAGGCATGACTGAATGGAATGTCTCCAAATGCTATCTGAAGATGGGCAAGAAAGGGGAAAGGCAGAGGTGGAGTTCCTTTCAGTTTGGGGGCATAGTGGCTGAAGGCACAGCTGCCGAAAGGGGAGAGCAGATGAGGGATGTCAGAGCCAGCTGAGCAAAAGGGATAAAAGTGGGATGTAAGCTGGTCGGAGAGGTAGAGGGGTGCCAAGGAATTAAATGATTTGTTTGTGAGCCAAAGAACCTGAAAGAGTTGGGAGCGGAGTCAGGAGAGCGCGGGGCGGAGCCGAGGTCTAGTTGCATGTATAAAGCACAGCCAGGTGAGGAGCCACTCAGTCGGGAGCGGAGTCAGGAGCTGAGGTAAGTGAGGGAGTCGGGCGGGCACCATTCACTAAGTGACGTCAGCGTGAAAAAAACCCAGCAACAACAACAACAATGGCCTGGCCACTGCCACCGCCATCCCGGTCATGGCCTGGGAGGCTGAGCCTGAGGGCTGATGCCGCCCGCTGATTGCTCGCTCCCGGTCCGTGTGTGCATTTTGGCTGCTGCCCCGACCCGAGCCTCCCCCTCCACTCTAAATGTCTCTCCTCCCACTCCCCTCTATCCGATACTCCCCCTCTGTCCTTCTCTCCCATCACCCTCCCCGCCTTCTCTCTCTCTCCTCGACCCCATCACCACTTCCCTCTGCTCCAACCTGGGCATCCTCCGCCGGGCCCATCGTGGCTCCCGGCACTGGTTGTCCCAGAGCAGCAACCCCACATGTCCAATCGTTCACTCCCTCCGCTCAAACCGCCTCCTTAAAGCAAACCCAACTTCCCCCTCCCTCACACGTACCCTCCCCAACTCACCACTCACACCACTCTCCACAGCCATCTCTCCTGTACACCCAAAAATCCTCTCCGCATCACTCTCTCCTCCCTCCTGCAAACCCACCCGCATTTCCCTCCATAACGTCCATTCCCTCTCAAACAAAGGCCTCATCATCCACGACCTCATCCTGGACGAGCACCTTGACATTCTTGGGCTCACCGAAACCTGGCTCTACCCCAATGACCCCGTCCCCCTAGTGGAAGCCTCCCCTCCAGGCTACACCTTCCACCACCCCCCCCCCCCGTCCAAACCAATGTAGCGGAAGGGTGGCCTTCATTTCCAAAGCCTCCCTTGGTCTTACCACCTACTCCTCTGGCTGCTTCCCCTCCTTCGAGCACCTCACTCTCTTCTACCCCTCTCTCCCATTGAAAATCCCCCTGGTCTACCGCCCCCTACCCCCACGGTTCCTTCCACAGACATCTCTACTCTCCTCTCTTCCCTGTCCCTCTGCTCCGAGCGCCTGCTCATAATGGGCGATTTCAACCTCCACCTAAACTCCCCTTGCACTACTTCTGCCGACTTCACTGCCCTCCTCTCCTCCCTAAACCTCACCCTTCATATAAAATCACAACCGTGGTCATGCCCTTGACCTCGTTATCACCCACAGCCTTGACACTTCCGACCTCAGCATAGTTGGTAAGGCCATCTCGGACCACTTCCTCATCTCCTTCTCCTCCCACATCCCTATCTCCTCCACCAAGCCCTTAACCATCCTCTACCGCCCTTGGAAAAGGGTACCCCCTGAGACCCTCACAAAGGCCCTCACATCATTAAACATCCTATCCCTCTGGCCTTCCACCCACGAAGATCCTGAAGCAGCCTTCCAGCTGCTCCATGATCGTCTCTCCTCCACCTTCAACTCCCTCGTCCCCAAAATCCAGGACCATCTCCAAACCCACCCGATCCCCATGGTACAACAATCATCTCCGCCGCCTAAAAACCCAAACCCAGCTGCTCGAGCGCAGATTATGGAAAACTGGCCTGACAGCCCACTGCCAACTGTGGCTCAAGCATCTCCACAGCTACCGGCGTTCCTTGACTCGTACAAAAATGGCTTTCTACTCCAACATCATTTTGGAGGCTAAACACAACCCTAAAATCCTTTTTTCCACCACCCACTACCTCCTCCGTGCTCCCCCTCAGGCCTCCTCAATCTTCATATCAAATGCCAAGTGCGAGGAGGTCATGGACTTCTTTTCATCTAAAATTCACAACATCCGCCAGGCAGCCTCATCCACCTGCTTCTTGTCACCCACCACCAGCCCTTCTCTGTCACCCTCACCCTCCCCATCATCTGCCCCTACCACCACCCCCATCCTACATTCCTTCCTCCCCATCTCTCCCTCCTCTATCTCACCCACCATCACCTCCATAAAACCCACCACCTGCTGCCTCGACCCCCTCCCCCACCAACTTGCTGGTCACCCAGCTCCCCCTCTTCTGCCCACTACTGGCTGACGCCATCAACCAGTCCCTCTCCTCCGGATCAGACTCTGCCCCCCTCAAAACTGCTGTCATCACCCCCCCACTCGTCAAGAAACCTTCCCTAGATCCCTCAAACCCCAGCCATTACCACCCCATTTCTAACCTGCCCTTCCTCGCAAAAGCCTTAGAACGCGTGTTGCCAATCAACTTCGCACTCACCTCTCCTCCCACTCCCTCTTCGAACCCCTCCAATCCGGTTTCCGCCCATAGTACAGAGACTGCGCTTGTGAAAGTCACAAACGACATCCTCTCTATTTGTGACCAGGGCTCCCTCTGCCTCCTT